TCGAAGTTATCAAATTGGTAATTTATTTGTTTGGTTGACGAACGATACTTGTGAGATGGACCGTAGGTGAATAAGAGGAAATTGAATCGAGTATTTTTCTTCAGTTACAATGAATGCTAATTCATAATTTTTGGAATTTCGTATGATTTGCTTCCTTGACTAGGTTCTCTCCTCTGCTCACTTTTCCAGTCGATCCGTCGACAAAATCTAGTGAATTGTAGGTGATTTTCTCTTAATGACAACGCTCTTCAAAAAGCGATTCAAAACTGTATCGTCATGTTCATAGTCGGGAAACTTGGCGGCTTTCAGTCAGTGAAAAAAAATTGTAGGTTGATTTTTCTCACAACTCATCGATTCTTCTCCATAAAACGCAATCACCGAAAGAGGTGGAAAAGGCATTGAGTGGGTAGGTGCATTGTCATTTTTCATTTTCTATCGTGTCCTCTTGTGAACCTAAGTCACTGCTCCTGGACTATTCATCTCACTTATTGTATGATGGAAGCAGTGCTTGGTGTTGAAATAAAAATATAATTGTCCTATTCTAAATGCTGGCATTGAATTGTTTTGTATACCGATACTTTTCCATTAGGATGCGAATGAATTCATTATCATTGTTGTCCGATCAGACCTTCAAAGTAATTATCCTTGACAGACTTGTTCATTTCAGTGTTACGGTTTCTGCCTCCTCCGATATGCTGTCTCTGTTCTCACTCATGAAAATGGATAAAGCTCATGAGCAATGCACGTTGGTTGTGATCACTGATGGACGATCGTTCACTCCGGTTTGTATCGGAATGTCTTTCTTTTACTCTATCATTAGCTGAAGTTGATTCGAAGCCTTTGTTTTTATGTAACTTGGCAAACTGACTATTGAATCAGTAGGGTTCGAATTTGATTTTGGTCGTTAAAATGAATATTCCAAATCATTCAGTCCTTCCGTTCCCTTGCAGTAAGGTAATGGAACGGGCAAAAGCATTCAGTTAGACCTTTAAGAACTGTCGAAACCACTCGGGAATGCATTTCTCAATTCAGCACAACACCTCTCTCTTAAAATTGCAGTGGAATTGCATGAGACTGGTTTTTGTTTAATTTATCTGATTTTCAGGAAGAAATGAAGTACAGCCATATTCCTGAATGCCGTGTCATCTTTGTGAGTGTTTTGGATGAGGTTTATACGGATGAAAATCAAATCACACGTTTCGTAATTATATCAGGTGCATACTTGTTCAAATTGGAAAAAAATGAATCGAGAAAAAAAATTGTATTCGCTATTTCGGGCGATTTCAAGGAATGCGAGTATGGATGACATTTGTATGCAGAATTGAAGCATCTTTATAAAGGAACATTTGATGAATGGTTTGTGTTCGATATTGAATGTTGCCATGTTAAGCGTTGAGTGTCGGTGTGGATGTTACGAGCTCAGTGGATGCAGCAGCCGCACTCTTCATGCCGTTGTTTGTGTCCGAATTCGCAGATCTGGCCACTTTCAGCGCTGCAGTCACTGCACAAATTTGTCCGCCATCAGATTTCACCCTTCGTTGTGGTCTTTTATCATCGCCAATTGAAGTATTTGCTCGATATTTTTCTTTTCATTTGTCAAATAATCTTTGTTGAAATTGTGAACATAGTGAAAGACAAATGGATTTTTCGTCCCCACCTCCCAGTAATCGTTCCTTCAGTTTCCAGTTGTTGCCAATGAAATGCGACAAACAGTGGGATAATGATATCGAAA